TCGTTATAAATTTTACATAAATACTATATCTTATGGCTTGCTTGTAATCAACATGGTACCTAACAGATAAGTAAGAATAAAAGTGACGTCATCAATATCAAAATGTCGACTCACTTTCCTGAAGGTTTAACTAACAAACAAACACAACCACATACGTATTAAATATGTTATAGATATTTAAAATATTGGGAGTAGTATGTATGCTTAAAAGTACGTATGCCAAATTATGAAATTATAATTTTACTTCCATAGAACAATAAGACAATGTATTTCTTCAAAATATTACTCGTTTGAGAAAGTTATAATCATATATTGACAATAGATATTAGATAAGTAATATACTAATGCTTGAACCTTCGAAAGACCATCAAATACCACAAATTAAATGTAACAGATAGGAACAATAATGATTAGGTATAAGATAATTTACTTACATCGATATTATAAAAAACTAAAACTAGCTAAAGATTTTAAATTTAATATACCACTTTATATATTTTTGACCGTAGTTACAAAAAAAACCAACATAACACTAATAGTTTCCATATGTTATAAAGAAAATAAAACTCTCTAAATAGATAATCACAAATAAAAGAATGTAATAATAGGTACATACCTTAAAATATACGTCAACTAGACTTCATAGGCGTCATGAATAGCTATAACATGACACCCGTCGTTACTCGGCTCGTGTTCTTAGTATCGTGAAGCGCCGGGTCGTTCACCCCGATGACAATAATCATTGTAATTATAGCGAAAGGACGTCCATCACGCGAAAGCAAGAGTGCGATTTCATGGTTAGGAACACGCGCTTTACTGAACTCATAGGGAGAGTAGGGTTGGAATAACAAGTTATACATATATATACAGAAATATATATACATAGTGATAGATTTAGTCACTTATAAACTCCAATACAGACGCTTCTTTGAAGTATGATACAATTTTAAATTTGGAATCTCTAGAAGAAGAGAAATATATATACATATATTTAGATATTGATAGATTTAGTCACTTATAAACTCCAATAATGACGCTTCTTTGAACTATGATGCAATTTTTAAATTTGGAATCTAAAATCATTTAAAATTCGAACTGCCGCGAACATTTATTTATAGAATCTTGGATTGTAAATGAATTTAAATTCAAATTATTTAAATCTTTTAAATGAATGAAGCGTAATAATTAAATGAATCAACAAGTCATGGGAAAAATAAATTCATGAATCGTAAAATATGTTAAATCATCTGGTTAGTGGTTTTAGTGTTTAAAATATTTGTCATCTATATAAAAAGTCCTAGATCGATCTCATCATTTCAGAATCAGATATTTTATAACACAACAAGATGAAACAAAATAATTATGTAAAAAATTTACTATTTTTCTAACAAATGAGATTTACTTTTTAAATTATAATTAATATATTAATTATATTATTTTCAATTCAATTCATATCTATATAATGATTATTATAATCTGTATTTCTTCATATTCTGCCGATCCTACGTATCACGGTGAAGCGTGTTCAGATCTCGCCAAAATTGTCTCCGCACAATTTCCTCCGCTTTCCATAACTCTCTATTGTGCAACATTTATTCGATAATTCGATTAAGGTAGGAATATAGCAATTTTATGAATTAAAATAAGCTTTCGTCTTAGTATCAAAAGTTTTTTTGAGCCCAATAGTATCAAAAACACGTAACAGTATGTTGCCAGTAGGTATTTATTTATTTGTATAATAACATTTATTACAAAATTTTACTTATATCTTTATTTCTTCTTCCTGGCAATTTCCCAACTTTAGCCAGGGTCTGCCTAACATGTTGTAGATAGTTATGGAGTGTTTTTCCTTACGGCTTACCCCAATTTCCATCGTCACACTACATACGAAATTTTAATAGTTTTTTTAATCCTTGCACATTATAATATTAACGTAGAATATTTATTTATAAACGGGGAACGCTTCGTATGTACCTTAATACAAACTTGTGCTAATCATATTGCAATTCATACTTAATAGAAGATATTAATTAACTATTCTAGAACAATTCAGAGTCAATAGCTTTATCCAACTTTCTACCAGATTGCCATTTACTTATGGAATGTTTACGAAAGTGATCCACAGGCAATCACACATAGATATAGATATTTATAAATACTTAAAAAACATATTTATTTCAATATAAAAAAAGGAATTATAATATTCCTTTTATTATCTATTTTATGGATTTTAAAATCATTTACTTGAGACTAATCTGTTACGTATACTAATCAATTTATTATCTTTTGCATATCTTAATAAATATTAAAGAGTATTAATTTAAAGATACAAGATATTGTCGGCGTCAATACTATCAGTGATGACAGAATCCACAATTGCCAACATAAAAAATTCATAGGAAGCGTAGGGTCGCCGCGGAAGGCAATATCCTGTTTCCGGCTAACCCCTTTTTATTTTATACGATTATTAAGTTATTCGCTTCATTTCGTTGCTACTTGATACACGGTTTTGAATTTAAATTGACATTTAACTATTCGCTCTAGGGTGGTCCTATAAAATAGTTAAATTTTATGGTCCATGCCATAAATGGGTTTTGTATTTTATGGGTTTATCTGTTTTGTATAAATTCAGTGACCAACACTTATAAAAGTTACGAACTCAGCTTCAGACGAGGATAAAGAATTATTGATATTATATAGACTTGTAATTATTAATTCAATTATAATACTGTATGCTTAGCACAAGTATCTTCGTCACACTGCATACGAATATTTTATACGTTAATAAATTTTGGTGGGTCCAGTGTACAACTCTTTAATGGTTGACGGTAAGTTGTAAGAATATACTGAATGAAACTTTTAGTATAATTCATGTTTATTGAAATAGCTAAGGCGCTATAATTTAATTGGTTCATCTTAGACAAGTTCCGATAAACCATTATACATATGATTGAACGACAACACAACACAAAGATGTTATTTTTCATATTTCAACTTATGTGTAACTGCTGGTATAAAATTATATAACAACTATAGTTTTTATCCTTAAAACATGTTCTGCATCGTCCAACTAAACACAGATACATGTCCATTTATAAATAAACATCAACATAGTATAAGAATCAAAAGCTTGGGGAGGATCTTGAAACTATGGTACAAATACATAAATACCTCCTGGTTATACTAAGCAATTACATCTTCAGCTCCACTATTTAACCTTATTATCATCGGAAACCAAACGTATAGTGTTTCATCTATTTCTGTAGACCTTATTAAGACTGTAGACAAAGCAGCACTCTTGGATATTCCTCATGCGTATAGCAATGGGTTAGAATACTTTGTCTGAATCTGTTTCCTTTTAATTATTTGGTTGTCTTCAAGAAAAGGATGAATACGCTGCTACGTAGATACTGATTTCACCATCAACGGAAACAAGGACTCTCCTGACACATCAAAAAGACTAAGCAAAGGGATTATCAACCTACATAACTCGACTTAAAATAGAAAATATAGATAATCATATACATCGATGTAAGCAAGAATCCAACCTCCAACCTACGGAATAATGCGTTCCAGTTTCTTTTATTACTAAGATATAATGTCTTCACTGGATTTGCTTAGTAACTTCTATGTTACACATAATTAATCATAAGAAAGTGATAAAAATACTACATAAGATCACTATCAAATCGTCTAGACACGATATGTTATCTAGAATAATATAAAATTAATAGGTTTAAAATTGCGATATCGTATCTAGATAAAAGAGATCTTGTCTATATTGGTTGCATTTATCTTTTGAAAAAAGGTCAAGTTATTTAAAAAAAAAAAATTAAAACAAAATACTGGTTTCTGATATAAAAAATTATTGTATTTCGTAATCTCCACTATAATAATGAAAAATTGAAGGCTATTTTGCAAACGGATCCATCTCAAACCACATAAGAGTTAGCTACTGGCATTAGTGACTAAGCTGTTTTAACTCACTTGAAGCAAATTGGGAATGTGAAAATGCTTATAAGCTCCCTCTTGAATCGAGTGGACCAAATCCTTAAAGGAACGTAGATAGCTGCGTTACATTAGTAAAACGCCATAGTAATAAATAATAGTTTAAAAAAAAACTAAAAAACACTTTTTCTTGGCTTAAAACACGTTGTGTTTTAAGCCAAGAAAAATCTATATTCATTTTTTTCGTTGGCAATTAAATTTGTACATGAAATTATTCAAATAAGAAATTACTAAATAAAAATCAGTTTATTTATAAATAACTTTAATTTCATAAAACAAAGATTAATTTTTAATTTAATATAGTGTTATTAAATATTATAATTTATATCAAATCTCAAAACATATAAACCTGAAGTAGGGATAATATTTTTAAATGGCAATACTAAAGTTAAATAAATATAAATATGTGAAGAATTTTAAATAATAAAATAAATACAGTATAAGCTTTTTCATATAAAAAATTAATTACTTCAAGTATTGAGATTATTTAGGTTTTCAGAAATGAATTATCAATATAAATATTAAATTTTATTACAATAAATAGAAATGCATTATAAAAACCGTCTTTTAATACATTAATTTTTGAGGAATGTTTAAATAAAATACTATTCATATTAAATTAAGTAGCAGAAATATCTGTATTTCAAATACCATTTCATATAAAGGCTTGCTTGAAATATTCTCCAAATAATATTCTATACCTACAATAGAATTACATTTATATGTTGCTAGTTAAAATTTAAAATTTTGTATTTATAATAAATACTCTATGCTGGTTTATACATTCAAAAAGTCGCTAATATGATATAAATATCTAATTTTTGTAGATTATACAATTATTTAAGCCTTATATCAATTCATAGGATTTTCAATTCATTTTTAATACCTCCACGGTATTTATCACATAGTAGGGTAACCATACATATTGATAACTGGCCATAAGTACTCGGTACATAATAAATGTGTATCATAGTTCATATATTTTATTTATATTATTTCTTATTATCTATGGTTGCCTTGCATACATATCCCTTCAAAGCCAGAACTCCTCTACATTTTATATGGACCTGGTATCTTGCGCACCAATCCAATGTTTCACAACCGGCTTCAGAGACTGCTTTAATAGCTGCGACTGTTAATAGATCTGCAAAAATAAATAAATAATAATATATCGTCAGAAATAGTGCATATCCTCGTAACAAGCATTGAATAATTCCATATATCTACATTGGAAGCAGATTATCAGAGGAAAGTTTAAGCTGAAATACTTAATATATTAAAGACTTTTAAGGTAATTTTTTTACAAGTAGTGATAAATTAAACACTAAATAATTACTACATATGTACGTATATAAAGTTTCATTCCCACAATTTAACACATGAAATTCTCTCAATATATAGATTATACTGAGTTTTTTAAATATCTAATTGGTACATAATTGATTCATAAATTTACTATAATGTTATGTCAAAAGTTCGTCTGGGATATGTTAGGGAGATTTTTTATAGACATTAATATTAACAATATTTGTGTATGTGGAAGAAACTATGGCTTGGAACAAGATTTCTTTTGGCCAATTAGTAGTAATAGATAGATAGTGCAGAATAATTTATTTAATATATAGGCAGACCCTGGCTAAAGCTGGGAAATTGCCAGGAAGAAGAAGAATTTATTTAATATAATATTCATCTAAATTTATAGATTCATCTTATTAGATTTGTTGATAGTCATGTTACAATAAAAATTGTCATTATAAAAAAATTGTCAGGCTATTTGTTAAAATGTAGGTCTTGTGGAATATCTATTAAATATTTTTTTATCTACAAATCCTTTATCTTATTTAGTAACTTAGACTACAATAATAGTATCTCAATATCTTAAAATTTCTTGGCTGATGTGATTGTAATGTTTTGTACTGCTCTTTCTTAATAATTGATTCTATTTATATATTTCATTGAGAGATTCAATATCAACCAAATTAGAACCTTCATATCATTTTGACAAACTATATTTTAAGCCCATAAACATGATATATATGTTTATATATTACTTGCAATTATTTACATTTATATTAATATCTAGTTAGCATTACAGAATTGCCGTCATGTCATAAATTATATTGCAGTTAAACATTTTTTACAGCTATTTCGTATTTATTTATAGACTCTCAAGTCACTTATTGCCAATTAATAGCTCTAATTGCTAATAAAATTAATTTCAATATCTTTATATAACCGTAGCACACAGCCAAGTACAATAATTGAAGGGAAAAGTTTAAATTGTGTTTTTATTTCTTAATAAATTGTTATTTGCATGCTGATTTTGGCATTTTCCACTTACAAAATCGTTAATTCTTAAATATATAACAATTTAATAATATCTCATTAGGTTAATTGTAGATTAATACTGTATAAACTTTAGTGTTGATTTACAAGGTATTGATAAGTTATAATCTTACTAAAGATTCACACACACACACATATATATACATATACAGGGTAACTGGTGAATTACTTTCAATATTTAAGGAGAATACTCGGTACATGATTCTCATTCGAATTATGTAAAAAAAATAGGTACTTAATTTTTGACTAAATTTCCGTATAAATAAATAAAGTGAGGACACGTTCCAAGTGTTCCAAGTGTGGACGCGTGCAGCGGCGTGCTGATACAACACCACGTCGCCGCACGCGTATGTGTGTGTGTGTGTGTATACCTAATCTGTAGGGTGTTCACACGATGCGTAATTAATTACATAACTTTGGGTTAACTTTACTTAGAAGTTTATTAATATTTATGTTATATTAATTTTTATTTTGTCATATATGATCGTCAAATATCACGTCCTCAAGTATCGATAGTAATTCACCAGTCACCCTGTATATATGTTTATAATGCTAATAGCATTACAATTTCCATACTAATTTATACATTCATTAACTAATTAAAATCTTTTATAGGACACATAGAAAGTGTCATAGAAAATGTTGTACTTAAACCAGTGGCGGCTGGTGGGTTATCGAACTGGTGGTTCACTTTACTAAAATATTGACAAAAACAACAATTGACATAAAATATGTTTATTTTTTGTACATTAAATCGATGCGACGACATTTTTCTGTAGCGAAATGTTCTATCACCCTTTTTATTAAAATCTGGTATTTTTTCTATAAATTTCTTTTCAATACTAAGCACAGAAAGTGCATTTAGCCGATCCTGAGACATGGTATTTCTGAGAAAAGTTTTGATTCTTTTCAGTGTCGAAAAACATCGCTCGCTCTCTACTGAAGTCATTGGTATAGTATAGATGCTCCTTCATAACTATATCCAACTCTGATACAAAGTCTATTAATCCACGAAACACTCCAGCATTACTGGACTCAATAGTTTCATCGTGACCTCGCAAAGCTAACTCAAATGCACCACAAAACTTGACACAATCGATAAGACGTGATAAAATGTATCTGTTTTTATCATCTGTTTATTATACTTTTGGATATTACTTCTATACACAGAATCTAGCTGATTACGAATATCGACTGTGCCTAACACAGACAAACTCATTACATTTTGTAGGTGTACTTGTGAAGAATCGTGTTTTTTTATTTTTTCACTTAAATGCGTCAAATCCTTGATTCCAGTTTCTGTCCAAATCGATTCTCCGCCAAAAATAATGCAAGGAAAACAAAAGAATGCATTAAGACGCTCACATCCACACAACCATTTCTTTCTATTATACATTTCACTTTTAAAACTTCGTATAAATGCTTTATTTTTCGATTTACACTCTTGTTTTAAATTTAAAAAGGGCCGTGGCGGCCCGGCCAATTTTATGTTCAGTTTACTTTGAAAAATTTTGTTATTTTCTTTAATATAATCAATATTTATACTCATTTTCAACTAATAAAAAACACAGTACAGAATAAAAGTTCTATTATAGGAACGAAATAAAAACTAAAACGAATTACGGAAATAATTATAAACAATAACGAATTAACGCGTCACGCATACAGTGAAAGTTGAAACAATACCAATAACGATTAACGAAATGTCAATCATAGCACCCATCCTTTCGGCCGGCCCCTTGCCGGCCGGCTCAATACGTCATACATCGGGTGCTCTCGGTAACCTTCGGCCGCTTCGTGCGGCGCGCGAGAACCGACTCGTTACTCGGTGCATTTCTATGAACTATCTTTTGTCTCACGCGCCAGGCGTATTGATGCGTGTCTCATACAAGATGTATTAGCAGTCCTCGTGCACTCGTCGGAGCGCACGATATGAGTTTAGTAAAGCGCTCAAACTTTTTGACCATAATTACAAATTAAATTTTTTATACCTTTTTGTATGTTTAAAAAATAAATATTAAAATGGTAATTTAAAAATTAAGATGACATAATATTTTGTAATTTTTAAATATTTTGAATTGGTGGTTCAGCGCACGGGCGCACTTAAGGTACAGCCGCCACTGACTTAAACTAATAACTTTCAATACAACAATTATTATTTGTCCATAACATTCTTACTCTTTATGTCCGAGCACAATATGATTTCCTTTGAAAATAATTTTCTATGCATATGCATGCATACCTGGTGGGTCAGCGTGAGTGAGGAGTTGCACGTCATTGGCCTTGCAGAAGGCGTGTAGCGCCGGCGGGACCACACAACATGAGGCGAGGTTTATTTGGGCTATGGCTGGCTTTACACGAGCCCACGCGTGAAGCTTACGAAGACAACCACCTCCTACATCCGCTACACCTAATTGGAGCACGCGACCTGATAGAAACAGATGGGTTAAGGAATATATATCACTAGCTAGCTAGATTAGCTAGATTTTCGGGATATAAATTAGCCTATATGTTATTCCTAGACGTCAGCTTCCTGTATACAAAATTAAATCAAAATCGGCTCAGCCGTTTGAGCGTGAAGAAGTAACAAACACACACAAACTTTCGGAATTATAATATTAGTAGGATTATCATTCTATCACAGCGAATGCTGAAACTCTTCTCACATGGAGAAGGTTTGAGCATTAATCACACGCTTGCTAAACGGCTTGGTAATTTCAGGCTTATAATTTTAACATTACATAATGGTCATACCAAAAAAATTTATCATATTCACATATATTAATAATATTTTCAAGGTGGTAGAGCCTAGCTGTGGTGAGTTACTACAGCTCGAACATGGGCTGGCTCGACCGGGGAAGTACCACCCTCTCACAGAAGATCGGCGTGAAGTAGCCTTTACTGGCTGCGTTTCGTCTGATGAGTGAGAGAGCCGGTTGCCCTATCCCTATTCCTACCCTTTCCTTTCCTTATTCCCACCCCTTCCTATCCCCAAAAAACAAGGTTGGCAAGGCATCCGCAACAAAATGTTGCGGATGTCCATGGGCGACGGTAACCACCTTCCATCAAGTGGGCCGTCTGCTCGTTTGCCACCTTTCACATAAAAAAAAAAAAAAAAAAAAAAAAAAAAATATTTGCTTTGATTTAGTCCCAAATAACAGTATGTAAGACCATAAAAATTTGCAAAAAATCATCAAATATTGATACTTATTTCATAATTTAACCTGCCCAAGAGTATGAAGAATAACTGTGACAAATTTCGTTAAAATCCGTCGAGTAGTTTTTGTTTCCATAACGAATATACAGACAGAGAGACAGATAAAAATTTTACTGATTGCATTTTTGGCATCAGTAGCGATCCCTAAGCCCCCCTTGATAGTTATTTTTTAAATATATTTTATGTACAGAATTGATCGCTATACAGATTTATTATAAGTATAGATTTTCTTTAACAGTTACAATTATTTTGTCCCTACCTTCCTTCACATAATCTTCCAACACAGCCCACAGTATCTTAATCCCTGGTAATATCGCTTCACATTTCCTCGCGTCAGCTTCGTTGTCTGCCTCCATTTCGTTACTTGATATACGAGCTGGAAATATTAAGTTAAAACTTCTCTTAATTACAAACATTGCTATTGATATTATCCTACATATGAACCTTTCCCAAAGTGGGGGGATATTGAGCTCTTAAGGTCTAAAGGGGGCGGTAAGAGACCCAGAAAGAAAATGGGAGGTTACGTGATGTGAGGACTAGGGTGATTTGTAATTTCATTTAGCTACCATAAGTTATACTTCCCTATATTAATACATTTATCGGCTCAGACTGTTAGTTTTAAGTTAGTATAAGGTTCATCAATCATCCTCATCATCACCCTTTGCACTTGGGAGCTGGAGGACCGCTGTATCAAATCGCAAAAGCCCTCCAGCCCCTCGGGCTCTTCATCGTTTCATCACATAGTTTTAAGTCTTTTAAACATCTATTACTTTTACAAACATATGTTAACGTGTCTACTTTTTATATCTCTTGTGTCTACTTTTTAATTCTCTTGTGTCTTTTACCCCCTGTGTACATCTATTTATACCTTACCCTCAAGCAATAAATTTAGATTAAAAAAAAAACATAAGTTATAGTAGTTTTCCTATAGATGAAAAAATAGATGCTACAAAATAATTTACTCTCAATATGGGTAGTAGACAAAATAAGTTTGAGATCTCTTGCTTGATGTTCAAATAAGAACAAGATATATAAAGACCATCATTTTTTCGTTTTTTTTTTAAACAGCTCAATAATATTAAAATTTTGTTAAATATTTTTTTATAATACTTTCAACCCTTATCTAGTTATTTGTACTCTATAATGGAATACATTGTATTGTTATTACATATTGGATTTATTTTTATAATGTATCCGATACCAGGAGTTCAATTTGAAGAAACAGCCTCAGGGTATTGATAAAGACGGAATTAAATTTTAACTAAAACACTAGAATTTAAGTATCAAGAAGCAAGCACTTAGTGCATACACTATCAACATATAAACTACAGTATTGCAATATAAAGTAATGATTTTATATAAGGTCTTATCTAGGGAATTAACAGTATTATCTGCAACCACATACATTTATAACTATAAAATGCTATAAATATATACTTATGATTCTGAATCAATTTTTAACATAAAAATTAGCAATATTAGTGAAACTAAATTGTATTATATGTATCTTTCTTTTATCTTTAAGTATATTGTATCTATAAAGATATAATATCTTACCAACATTGCTGCCTAGTGATATCGGTGAAGCTTTTGTGAAGGCTGTTTTATGATTTTCATCTTTGCCGTCATCTCTATGCAATATATCTGGATTGTAGGAGAGAATGACACTTTCTATGTGTTCTGTTCGTAGTGCTGAGAATACTGAAAAATATATATGCATATATGATTTTACTCCGACTTTGCTTATGTTGAGATATATATTGTGACTATGATAGCATATAATAGTATAGATAATATAGATATAGATCTAATCATTATCTATACAAGGGTCTTATATGTTTAGTCATTTTATAGGAACATTCGTTGAGATAAGGATATTAGATTGCAACAGAATTACGTATTTCAGTGACGAAGTAATACTTATTGCTTTATATAAAGTGAAATTGACGTGAAAAACATTTTGGTATAAAAATATAGAAGACAATAAATTAAGTATTGATATAATATGAGAAAATGATCACATCATTTGATAATACATAGTAATTTTTATTTATTAAACAGAATTTCAAATAACATATATTACTAGATTGAAAATTAAATAAAGATTGAAAATTAAAACTTTATTTGACATTTTCTTTTTTTTTTAATTTACTAAAACATATCATATGATTAAAAATAGGCTGCCAAAATACAAATACAGGGAAAATTAGTACGATAAAAATATTTTTTGACAGATAATTTTACAAACAAGTGAACGTCATAGATAAAGATCTTCATTATACTTAGGATATACAAAAATCTTATCAATAAAATTAGTACGATATCAATACATTTAATGTTGAGGTGTCGGAGTAATCATTACGATTATGTTATGCAATATTATTATTTATTTTTCATAATAACATTTTACTTTTCATGATCCCTACTAATATTATAAATGCGAAAGTAACTCTGTCTGTCTGTCTGTCTGTTACGCTTTCACGCCTAAACCACCGAACAGATTTTAATGAAATTTGGTACAGACATATAGTTAACCTTGAGAAAAAAAGATTCTCTTGGAAACGTGATATCACCGAAATCCACGCGGGCGAAGCTGCGGGCAGAAAGCTAGTATGCTACATATATTTAGTTATCCAATTAGCGAGTAAGCATATGCATGCACGAATCCTGGCTTGCTTGCATGCATGAATAAAACTATTATTTATGAACGATGACCGTACTTTTTAATATATATTTCGTCTACTTTTTGGCAATCGTGATCACGGGAAGACGAGATGAGTGATAACAGAATTTAAATTTTAAGTTAATATAAAAATAGTGCTATACGGATAACATGAGGAAATCAACAATAAAGTACTATTTATTCTTCAGTACCCCTACCAGGGGTTCGCATAGTCGAATTAAACACAATTTTTAAATGTTTCATTCATAAATCTTCGCACGTTAGTTAGTTATGACGTATGCAAGTAAAAATTTAAAACCATCAATATGCTATTTATACTAAAATAAATATACGAAAATAATCATATTAGTGTTATTTTCGAACAAATTCAATTCAATAACTATATAACCAAATTGAAATACTGCTTTTTTTGTACTTGATCAAACTACATATTATCACGAGTCCAATAACCAGTTCGATTTCACTGAAATTAGATTGTGAGGGTCATTTTTTTTATGACCTCCACAACTTTATATAAAAAATGATATCATTCATTGTATTATGACATTAAAATAACAAATTCTTATATAAAACTAGCTTTTGCCCGCGACTCTATCCGCGATAGTTTCTTAATTAGAAATGTATAACTGACCGGGCGAACTGTTTCAATTTAGAGGCAGGAAATATACAGATTTTGAATTTTATTTTCATTTTTTTTTTTGGTTGAACAAATTCCTAAAAAGTATCCTATGTCCGTCTCCTGATTCCAACCTATCTCCCCATAAATTTCCAGCCAAACCCGTACAGCCATTCTTGAGTTATAAATAGTGTAACTAACATGACTTTCTTTTATATATAAGAGAAGAAGATACCTTCTTATATCAATTTAATCATTTTTCAAGATAATTTATGTGATGAATTTTCCATAAATAAGTATCGGACTATTAAAAGATAACATTTAATTCTGTGTGTATATTTTTATAATAATAATATTTAAAATATTCCTTTGTATGTGTTATCAGAAAACATTTCTCTTATCAGTTACAAGTAGGCATTCATTATTATTCACGGATGATATAAAAATTTTATTTTTTATTGCATATTTTTCCTGATTTGAAGTGTTGAAGACTTTTGTCTTTAGGTCCATTTGTTATTACACATTTTTGTGTTGTGTTGTTACTAAGTTTAAGTAAATAATTTAAGGAAACATGATTTGTGCAGTAGAGAATTAATAACATCTTGTTATATTTAATTTCATAATGGCATTTTGGCATTAGCTTGTTTTGGCATTACTTGGAATGCTGGTATCTGTATATAAAACTGGCATTTGCAACTCACAATCAAATCATAAAAACTGAATGACTTGAATACTCCTTATAATTATTTAATTAATACACAATGAAAGAAGTTTAACTGAAATTTTAAATAAAAATTCTAATTACTGGAAAACAATATGCAAAGTAAGGAAAAATCTTAGTCACACCCTGTTAGATTATTATTTTAATTGTGTAAAAACTATAGTTATGCAAAATTCATTGATTCATAAACACATAATTTACATAATGTATCTTCTAAAGACAATTAGATTTAAGTGTAGCATGCATTTTTATATTGTCTATGTTTTGAATATTGGCATAAAAGAAAATATTTACGAAACCGGCTTAAAACGACAAAGAAAATATATGAATGACATTTAAATGTTTGGTTTCAAAAATTTTGTTTAATATATATATAAACTGTATTAAAATATTTTCATCATACAGTAATAACTGTATTTGAATATACTTTTTAATTATTATTATCTATATGTTCAATTATTTATTCATTCATAACAATACATTTTAAGAGATATTTATAATGTAATTTCAGCTCAAAGTCCTTTTAAATTTTATAGAACCATAACAATAAATAAATACAATATATAATTCTCATCTTAATTCAGTGTTTAGAATTCTTTTTATCTATAAAAGAAACATATACAAAATGACATATATACAACAAATGCAAATTATTGCATCTATTAACAATGGTATGATAATAATTGTATACCATTTATATAGTTTAATAATGATTAATGTATCATTAACATATTATTGATATATCATTATAATTCATAAACATAATATATTAATATCCTTTAAAATGTATAATTAAATGTCCAAATAACTTACCACTATCCAAACACTCTCTCAAATCAGCCGTACTGTCTTCATTGATGAATATCTTTACACCAATCTTAAGATTCTTCCTCTCCTCTTCGGCCATTTTATTCTGTACATCATCATGAGGTCTGGTTATGTTCAAGACGGTTTTGGAATCGGTAGACAATAGTACCAGATTTGCTTGCGTCGAAGTGTTGGCATTTGAACCGTTTGGTAATGCATGTCCATTCTGTGTTCCCCATTCTGATAGTGTTAATTTAATGCTTTCTGATAACTGAAAACACAAAAAAAATTAATTAAAAACCTTTTTATAACAAAACTTAATTATGTTCTTAGAAAAAAATTTCAACAAATAAGTTATTTAGTGATATGTAACTAAATATGCTTTTAACTTCAAATATAGTAAAGGAATTTTATTTTTAACCATTATTAAATATTTATTTAATTAGGTATATCCAAACTAGTATTCCAACACAGTTATTCTATCAAATAAAATTAATATCTATACATATAAATCAATAATGAACATAAATGTACTTAGGAATTATAAATCATAAATAATTTATACTTTGTGTTAACTTTAACTTTAAATTCACCTATTTAACATACACTAACCTTAACTATTAATCAAGTGATTTATAATTTATTCTATAAATGCATATCCATATTAATAATTACTTAAAAATGTGTATTAATTTACAATTGACACAAAAACACAATAGCCTTAATAATTTTGTTAATAAAATATCATTAGATTGGTAATTCATAATTTTAAGGTTTTTCTATTCATGAAATAATACTACAACTACTATAGTTGTATTATACAATATATGTTTAACTTCAAGGTCTACTTCAATATTTATAAGTACTACAATTCACAAGTACTAATTCAGCAAACATGATTGTTTGAGAAACAGCTATGGGATGTTATGAAAGCAAATTGTATGTTATAATTATGTTGGTATCGTTTCAAGAAAAAATATTGTTATTTCTAGAAATATAAGGAAGAACAATATATATTTTTTATATAGTCGTACATATATTATTACGTAAGACGATAACTAAAGACCTCAATTAAAGGATTACATGTTACAAAAATTAAATTATTTGTTTATGCTATCAATTTCTAAAATATTTAAAATTGTATAAAACACCATAGCAAAAACATAAAAAAATACGTTGGATTATAAACTATAGCAAATAAAATATACCATAAACATTTAAAATATTAAATAATGAAACAACTGACTAACCTCTTCAGTCACATTTTGTCCAGCTTTTTTCTTAATATCAATCAGATTTAGAACATTTCCTGTATTAATTGTAACTTTAGACGCACTCTTCAACATGTTTGGAACGTTTAATTCACTTTGTTAAAGTAAACTATCGATTTGTCATTACCGCTTGGTGTGTTCTTTCAGTGTGAATTACGTTCGCGTGCTACTAAAAGAGTTTATAAACTGAATCCGAATGGCCTTGCAAAATTGTACAGTCATAATGATACTTAGTATTATATCTTCATCCGAAATGACGTACTATTTTAAACTGTGACGAAATATGCGTAAATTTAGCTCTACATTTTATATGTTAATTTTCACCAGTTTTGTTGTAATGCTTTTAGAATGCTTACTATTACTCTGTAGTACCTAATTGTGATTTTTTTTGTTGTTTAGGCTAAGCATAAATTTGAAACCAAAAGTAGGTATTAATTTTTAAAATTTAAACAAGTCAAGTGTCAACGGCATAATTTTTGACATCCTATTTCTTGTACAGATTACACAATCCACAAAAATTGAATAAGATGGCAATAGAAAACTAAAAAAAATATTTTTATTAACTTTTAAATAATAACAACAATTAAGTATCTGCATTATTTAAATAGTTTGAATTGGTAGGCATCTTTGAAATAATAGAAGTATTTTTACAAAAATCTATTTTTCGAATCCATTATATTACCCTCAAAACATCAAATAAGTTTAAAATAAGTGCTAATTAAATGTATATTTTAATATTTATTATTCATGAATAGTTTTTGGTAGTATTACATTATGAAAAGCTATTTCCATGATGCTACGTTATATAATTTTTAAGTGCAATAAAAACATGTTTCTTGTGTGTAAATACTAATAACAATCAATATGTATAAAGAGAAAAGATATAATGCTATACAGATTTCTTAAATAAAATTGATTGTTACAAGTTTTTGTAATTTTTTGTACTGTCATCTCGTGAATTCTATTTTATTCATGTAATAGCGATGTCAGTTGTCAATTGTTGTCAAACATCAGCGATCAGCAGTCGTCTAACTGTCATACATAGTTATAACTTATAATTTTGTACTTTGCAGTTTGAGCCTTACGCCTTTTATTTAAATTTATTAAATATTTAATTTTAATTTAAAATGGGAGTCGATATCCTTGGTTTTGCATATGCCGCAACGGTAGCTGCAGGTGGAATTATGGGTTATGCTAAAGCAGGTGAGGTTTCGATGTTTGATTGATTTGCATTAAAAAAATATATTTAAATTTTTATCTATCGAATTCTCCGTGTATAACTAGACCTGCATCTTGCACCTCTATTTTTATTTCGTTTTGTTATTATATGAAAAAACACTTATCGCTATTACTTTATCACATGTATTGAATTATCATTCTGATAACTCCTGAAGTTTTAATTTCATAACAATTTTCTCACCAACATTAAAAAGACAATAAAGTATTACTATTAACTTTGGTATATTAAATATATATGTAGCTTTATAAAAAAAAATTGTCAACAGAAAATTGCAGCCAAATTTACAATAAATTAAAAATATATTAATTTTAATATAAAAGTTCTTTGTATTGCCTTTTTTTAAAATTGTGTTCTAGATACATTGTTTGGCATAAAATTCATAATATTTGATGTTTATAGAAAACAAGACTTCTGTGTTTAAGAAAATATTTATGTTCAAACCATAGATGTTATTGAATAATGTCAAGACATGTAACAATCATATAATATGGAAGTTGATACAAGTCATTTATTAAAAATTATTTTAATCCTTATACAGGGTGACTGGTGAATTACTATCAATATTTAAGGAGAATACTCGGTACATGATTCTCATTCGAATTATGTAAAAAAAATAGGCACTTAATTTTTGACAAAATTTCCATATAAATAAATAAAGTGTTGACACATTCCAAGTGTTCCAAGTGTGGACGCGTGCGGTGGCGTGCTGATACAACACAACGCCGCCGCGCGCGTATGTGTGAGTGTGTGTGTATACCTAATCTGTAGGGTGTTCACACGATGCGTAATTAATTACATAACTTTAGGTTAACTTTACTTCGAAGTTTATTAATATTTATGTTATATTAATTTTTATTTTGTCATATATGATCGTCAAATATCACATCCTCAAGTATCGATAGTAATTCACCAGTCACCATGTATAATATTATGGTGAATTTTAAATATGTTTTGGATACCCTATTCATGAAAAATAGCTATATCCTCTAACTATTCTCACTTGGATCATAGTTTGGTCTTTGGGCTATCAATAATTATCCTCAGATATATAACCTAAATAATAAGGATACTTAATGCTTGTAAAAATTTTACTGAATCTTAAACTTTATATTTAACCTGTTAACCGGGCGGGAAATATAAATATATCAAACGTAAACTATAGCGTGTATAGGTATGTTGTATAAATACATCCTTACCTGTCCTAGTGAAAGAATTCGCGCCGGTTATATGCTGCATAATTAAAAAGTTAAGTAAAGTTAATTTAACCATAACTGATTAAAATTGGTTGAAGTTCCAGATGTTTATCATATAAAATAAACAAATATAATAACTTAGATGATTTTATGCATGTTCACAGACAACAAAATATTAAATAATAAATACCAAGTGACTTATAAATCTGACTATCAATATTCTGCTTATTTCATTAAATTTAAGCCCAAGAACTATCTCTGTATAAATATATCCCTATATAATATGCATTCTGTATGTGATTTATGATAATAATCATTACTTCGTTAACCAACTTGCTTAGGAAAACTGTTTTGAGGTTCATAAAATCTTTCTAAGTTGGGTTATAGACATAAAATGTTAAGGTAGAAGTGAATTTCCGTCACTAGTATGCCATATTTTCTGTTGTTTATTCTTGCCTTCAAGGTTTATCTTCTAAAGTGTTGATGACAGAAAACATGGTTACTTTGTTGGTACAAGATGTTTAAGGAAGGTTAAAAGAAAGGAAAGAACAGGCTATGTCGTCTTACATTATCATAATATTATAATGAATTATTTTCTTTGGAAAGATAGACATACAATTAGTTTTAATATTTGTTGTATTCTACATATTTTTACTATAACATGTGAAAAATATATTTATACCAACTAATTGCTGTTATTTCAATTTTCAGGCTCAATTCCATCCCTCGGTGCCGGAATCATTTTTGGATCTATTTTAGGTAATATTGAAAGTTAATAAATTCTAAGTAGCATATAGTTATACAATCTAAGCATACTTTATATAGTAAATTGCAAATTTTCTGATAAGTCTGCAATGAATGTATGTGTAAATACTTGCTGATTTCATTACTACAGAATTAACTCTTGATAAAAAGAGCTATAAAATAGCTGTTTTCATTACCAGCACAATATTATATTTGTGACTATCATGAAAATGATTACTATTGATAATATAAATAATTCTCATTACTTATAGAAAAGTTGATATTTAACTCAAATGAAACTCACCCAACCTGGTTTTTTATCAGCAGAAGTTATTTTACAATATTGTTTATATCAAGCAAAAAAAATATTCGGATTTACTACGCGTTTTTCTTTATTTTAAAACTACATTCTCCCGACGTGTCGGTTCCTTTACAGTAAGCGTGATCACAGACAGACAAGTTGAAAATTTTAGCTAAATTTTATTTAAATAAATACTCGCAAAAATCTTAGATATCATCAATAATGTCGTTATTCTATTATCAGGAATTGGAGCCTATCAGCTATCTCAAGACCCCTCAAACTACTCACTCATGCTGGGTACTACAGCGTCTCTTGGAGGACTAATGGGATATAGGTAAAATACCCATCATACCTATAGAAAAACTAGATTCCGCATTCTTTTGTTTTTCTTTGTACTTTTTTCTGAAAATATTTGGTGCACCTTTTTTTGAAAACATTTGGTGGATTTTATGTTCAATTGGCTTAAATTTTCGGAAGCTTTATGAGATTGATTCTGGTTAGCTATTTAATGCTACGCATTTCTTATTAATCTAATAAAATGGAAGTGTCTGTTTGTAATATATAATTTATCGTAAACTACATAAAGTTATAACCAAGGTCAAACTTATTTAGTGATTTTTATTTTCCCGATTATACAAAAAAAATCCCAAGCACAGTTTGCCTATTACCATGATTATATTGCATACATACACATATAAATAATAAAATGCAATAACAATAAACAGAAGTTTGTCTTTTCACATTTTAATATTCATCCATAAACAAGGCTTCATTTTTACATATAGAAAATATATATTTCACATTTATAACCACTAACACTTATGTGTTGCTTGATAATGGATTTTTTTGTTACAGATATTACAACAGTAGAAAATTCATGCCCGCTGGTTTAATGGCTGCAATGTCCGCTGGGATGTTGGTTAAGTTATTAATCAAAAATGTTAATGCCCACCCATTATCAGTTAAAAATAACTAATTAGGCTAGGTGTACATGTTAATAATTTTATAATTCCATATTATGAGTGTGACCCATGTAGACCTAGCCTAAGTTCACAGTGATGTTTTACTGTATATTACACAGTTTTTTATAATTTTCATAAACATTACAAAAATTTTTGACTGTAAATGTGTTGGTGTTGGGACTGTTGTAATAAATTAATGAAGGTAGAAATAAAAATCAGTTATCAAGTTGATCTTTTTTTTATTTTTTCTTAGATTTAAAAATTTAGGAGAAAACTTATGATTTGTTCATACATAAATAATTGGCATATAATAAATAGTTACACAACAGGCAAGTGACGTCAGTTGGTAGTTCACTATCTCCTAAAAAAAAAAACTAATTGCCAAAATACGTTCTAAACCTTTTTAGTCTATGGTAACTTTAAAAATTACAGATCTATTTAACATAAATAATTTTAGATTAAAAATTTTCTTAAATAACAGTATAAAAATTTATGTCAAAGAAGAAGTCATTTATAAGAACATGATCACACTTGAATTGCGAACCAGTCGCATGTAAAAAGTACATATAATTGTTATTGAAAATATAAATGATTTTAAATATCTTCAATCATATAAAAAATACAGACAATACCGTGTGATCATACGAGTATTAATCTTATTTATAAAAAGGCACTCTGTGGCAGTTTCTCTCTTGTAATCTAACTACGATGATATATTACAACCGCTTACAAAAATATATAGGCTAATATTATTTCTAGGTATTTGAAAACCATCGAGACCACGTCTCAAACCGGTATCGTCTAATCTACAATGTACTTATAGTTCATTAACACAATCACATTGTAATATCACTCACTAGTGCCCGACAATATTGTCCCCAGACACTTACACAATCAAGTGCAACACATTATTACCCGCAGAATATTAATATTACTTCGTCGATAATATTATCTTTCGTACAAACAATTCAAAAGGTATACCTATATACATTGAAATTTCAAAATATGTAACACTACACTGTGACACTGACATTTCAGTTTGGTAATATTACATATATTTCGCATATCAAATTCGTAATAGATAATATTACCGAGGTAATATTTATACGCGTTATTTTATTAAAATTACTGCATCGAGTCTGTTACTTGAGACACTATTTGTAACAAGGTACCAATGTCCAGTACCACCCGTCAGTTTTCCCGCTCGTTTTTGCTAATGGCGGCTGCTGAAAACATAAACGACCATATTAATTATCTGTAGACAATAATTATCGATAAGCAAATATTTTTTTAGAGATCCATGCGCAATCCATGCTGAAAGAACAATATTTTCTACAATGAAAACTATTTACTTCTACAGTATCTACAATTCTACTCTAATATCTATAATCTAAATGTTGTGTTAAACATGGCGAAACTATGAAATTAAAAATGGTTTTTGCAATACACGTTATAGGTAAATCAACATAAATGTATATTAGTTTTTTTTTCATGTAATGCTATGTATATATTTTTTTGGATTATGTTTTGATAATGTGTGAAATTAAACACGTTTACTTATATATAATATGTTGCAGGGCTGTAAAAGAGAAGGCGGCAAAATTGTTGGCTGTTTTTTTTATATTTCGACTTGACTGTAGCTGTTAGCCCTATTGGCTTTGACAGCGTTACCAGAAAGGTTTTTTTATAAAATCCAAAAGTATCCATATAATTTGATTTTCAAACACGTTGAGGGATTTTTTTTTATTAAAGGAAGGATAGGGAAGGAAAAGGGATACTTGCGTTATATATAAAATGTATTATTTCTTGTTTTTATATATTTCTAAAACGATGCACGAATGACTCTGTAAATGCTGATGATAGGTAAGAAGAATGTTTTGTCGAGATGCGGCGATAGACAGAATGACATCAATATGGTCAATATGCCTTACCAATGGCACTTCTATGTTCGTATGAGCTCTCCCGAGGTCAGATTCCGTCGGTAAGAGAAGACGAGTCTCGCTGGTTCAATTTGAACTTGTTGTGAGTTAGCATCTGGCCTTATAGAATTGTCTGATGATTTCGCTTGTGAATAATATGTTCCTATTTTGAATACCGATTTGATTCCTTTGTTCGAGAAAGGACTTTTCGTTGTCCCACGCCCGAAGAAACTATCTAAATCTTCTTTGCCAAAGAAACCTCGCTTCGGTTCGGGTTTGGTTGTTTTTGTGATATAATCCTTGAAGTCGTAGGGACTTTTCGTTGATGTTATTGAGTATTTGAATGGTGGGTATGTACTGATTGTAGATTTTTCCGTCACTTGTATGTCTTCTGCCTGTTTTGTTGTGCTGTTGTGTTTTACGTTTTCTGTTGTTGTTGTTACATTAGGAGTCTGGATCGTCGTTGTTGTAGTGGAGGTAGTTGTAGAAGCTGTCGTTGAGGTAAATTCAGTGCTTTTCTTTTGGTAAAAATTGTAATAGTTTTGTTTGTATTCTGGTGCTGTCGTGCTAACGTATGGCTGTGTGGTCGCTTCAGTACTGTGTGCGTGTATATAAAAATATTAGTTAGTATAGAACTAGCTCGAGAACAACCTCGAGATCAAAATATCTCGCTGTTTAATGTATTTTGACGTCGTTTATTTAATTTATATTATCTGTCGACCAAATAAATAATATATTACAATGATGGATAGAATTCTAAAACGTTATTACAGACCTCGTGATGTTTCCGTAGAACGGACTTGTCTCTGGTCTCACGTAGCTCGGAGTGTGTTGAGAGTAGTCTGGTATAATGTTCTCATGTTCCGTAATACACCGGCCGTTGATGCAGTACTGAAATATAGGAAATATTTACATACATACAAATACACACACACACACACACACACACACACACACACACACACACACACACACACAAACGGTTGTTTAATGATGAAAAGATTGTTAAAAACAGTGGTGAAGTTCATCGAGATGTAATTATAATGAGGACTGACATTCTATTGTACGTAAGAACGGATTAATCGTGGTAAATTGCTTTGTCTACAAGATTACAAATTTCTATTGAAATTAACTATATATGTATAAAGTTAATGATAACTAGTTTTGGGCTTACACCATAGACTAAGCCCTATTAATGAAATATTTTATACTGTATAGGAAAAAAATTCTGAACATATGACCATAAAAACATATTCCCAGTGCTAACCAGTTTTGGTTTCAAACCATGGACACAGCTCTTTTTATGCAATACAATACCTACATTGTATAGGAATAATTTCGAACATATGGGCATAATAACATATTCCCAAAGACCATAAAGTATAAAGCACATTGGAATCTCATATCCTACTAATATTATAATTGCGAAAGTTTGTGAGTGTGTGTATGTTTGTTACTTCTTCACGCTCAAACGGCTTAACCGATTTTGATAAAATTTTGTATACAGGAAGCTGACGTCCAGGAATAACACATAGGCTACTTTACATCCCGGAAATCTGCGGGTAACACCGCTGGGCGCAGCTTGTATTTCATATATCTCATATATTTCTTCATCAAACCCTCACCTGTCCATCCCCACACGGCGAACCCTCGGCAGCTGGTCTGTACGCAACACAGTATCCGCTTGCTGCGTCGAAGCAGAAAAGTTGCGCACACACGCGCTCGTCCTTAAAGCACGCGCTGAGAAGCAGAGTATTATATATGTGGGTACAAATAAAAATATGGGAGATACTTATTTGGGAATTAATAATAGAGGTTAATCGTTTAGAATTGATAAAAATATGGGAAAAAGAAAGAAGTTTAAGACGATGAGATACTCAATAATAAAAAAAAGTTCGTTTGCTCTCGACCACGATTAATAAAATTAAATCTTATTACAGATATATGATTTTTTTTTTGTATGAAGATATAATTGACAGAGAGGGATAATAATTGGTTAGTAAAGATAAATTTTACCTATATTATAGGTATACAATTGACTTTTAAAAGACATTCGAAAATATGCAAAGAAATATGATTTAAGAGGGGGAATCCGCGTTAACATATTTCTCATTTATAAAGTTGTGTATGAATAATAAAATATACTAGTTATGTTATGGTTTTAACATGTCAGTGTCCAGACTTTTCAATGACTGAACTCCGTATGATTCATAACGACTTAGTTGTTGGAAGTTTGTAACTAAAACAACAAAATTTATATGACAGCAAAACTCCTTAAACTCTTTCCCAAAAAAAAAGATTAGTCTAACAACTTTATTTTTTAAACAGTATACAAAACAACTAATTACTGATATCTGAATAAAAATACAATACATATAGTCTATATTAGTTACCTGTTTGAAATTTAATATTATTAATCTGTCGAATATTATTCCGGTAATAATATATAATACATACCTAGTTCCTCTGTCTTTTCTGCACTGAGCGTCAAGTGTGAGTAATCTTCCAGGGAGCACCCGCGGGAGGGAATCGTCCTCATGAGGAGAATTATAGAGACAGGTTGCTGTGTCGCCGCTGAAAATAACAACAAGAATATTTACAATAAAATAATAAAAATATACATTTGTATGTTACGTAAGCGATACGTATTAAAAATAATTGAACATCAATGGGACAACATCGTTGTATGGATAAATATATAACTCTTGACGCTGCTGACTCCGCGGAACGAACACCAAGCGTGTGAACCAGAAGATTCCTGATACACACAAGCTATGGAATGATATTGATATCATAACATCGGGACAATCATGTAGTCTTGTCTAGATTATAAGTTTTAATATTTAATTCTCACTATAATATATGTATGTTTCGTAGTTATCCTGGTGCCTCCGGTGTCAGCCTAAGTAATTTGTATGCATTTTAATTACAGTTAAAATTATTAATTTTAATTAATTATGAAAGAAGATTATTTCTTTAGTACTATACAAGTTATGTACATAATGGCGTCCAAATTGGGACTGGTATGAATACTTACTTTAGGAAGTGATGGAAACTTTGTACACTGCACGGTGACCACCTAAATCCCTTTTCCGTGTGTCTCAAATCAGACATGATGAACCCGTCTTCCCACCTACACTTCTCCGCGCCCGGACCACCGAGGTATGAAGGCGGTGGACTGCCATCGTGAACAGCTCCTAGCCTAGAGCAACAAAACTTAATATTAAGACCTTAAATATCCTTTTATAACTAGTTTTTGGAGGCAACTTCGTCCGCATAATTTCGGAATTAGTAATATATGTATAGCTGATCGGAAGAACTTTGTTATGCTATGTCATAAATAACCAGATATTGAAGTTTATTAAGTTTGTTTTCTTTTTGGATTAGACAGAATTAAATATCCTATGTCCGTCTCCTGGTTCTTAGCTATCTCCCGGCAATTTCCAACCAAATCCTTGAGTTTCTTGAGTTATATATAGTGTAACTAACACGACTTTCTAACATATATATAATAATAATAAGATATAAGATAATTTGACAGGTGTCTCTAAACATGCTGGTACATCACTCACAAATGTCCAACTTCGTGAGCAGCCACAATAATGCCGGAGAAACCGCCGGTATCTTCAATAATGGCGACCGAGTTAACTTTTTCCAAGCGTTTATTCACGACGCAAGCGCCGCCGACGTATGCAAATCCTGTTATAAAAATATAGATAAACTCTTTGCAAGAATCTTTTATAAATTAAAAAAAAAGGATATACAGCCAATTGTCTATGGTACTTACGTGATGAAAGTACTTACATGACTCGGGAGTTTTTGGTACGGATAAAGATGGATTCATACAAGAGGATGCTGAACGATAATAAAATAGAAATAACATAAGGCGCATGCCAAGCGTTATGTTATTAGGTTATATAGTTTAGAAAATACATGCTGTTAGGTTTTAAGAGCGTAATGCGAATATATTAGTCGTATTAATACACATAAAATTAGATTTAGAATAAATGACAGACATTTGACAGTGACATTAGATTTTTTTTTTTACAAGGCTAACATTTTGAAAGCATGCGTTTCGTTGAATGGTCGTTTCGTATAAATCTGAATATTTCCATTCATGTTTAACTGCAGTTTGGTCATTGAATACATATGTTAGTTTATTTTAAGTACGTCCTCGTGTCATTTAAGTAAGGTAGGGCCGACTGGTCCGGCCTTACGAAATTTTCTTGTCGATATAGTGATGTACTATGCCTTTTGAAACCGATCATGTCGAAATATATGTGGGCGATTGACTTAACATACACAATAAAATATCACGAACAATAAATTAATCATTTTAAATGCTTACGTTCATGTTGATGGATAAAAGTGACCACATGCTTAAGATAGTACCGATAATATGAATAATTTACAAGTATAGTAGAGTATTTTAAATGAAATAAAATATTTTAAGTACAGACAGACTTATATACATTGTACTGATATTGTGATAAGAATTGCATAGAGATTATTCACAGGTGCTAATGAAACGGACATGGGAGAGGAATTTATATGGGACATAGTGTAATAACGTGTACAGAGGGTATTTGATGAACTAAAGGCGTGCTGAGGGTAACAATAATACGACACACGCCTACCTGCTGTCCCTCTATTGCACGCATCGTTTGCATATTGCCGCCTGCACATGTCTAGTCTGAAAGTTACGGAAATGGCTGAATAAATAGAAATAAAATGCTCTATTTATTGGACATCCTATAATCCGGTTTAAAAATAATGTTCGTACCCTTTACCGTTACGAAACAATACATTAAAATCTATCACATTCAGCGCCATTACCAAAATCCTTAACCTTATACATTCAATATAAAACAAGCCGAATTATTTGACTCGCAAGCCTCTGTTAATGCCGAGTATGGTAACACCAGTCGCAACCTATAAATGTTTTGGTTAAAATTAATTTACCAGCTGTGCCTTTTGTACAGCGGCCACCCTTGCGACGTCGGCACATGTCGTACCTGTTGGTGAAATCAGTATTTTTGTGTCTTCATTCAGTATTCCATTTTTTTTACCGGTTTTTTAAAGCACATTTTTACCGGTTTTTTAATACACGTCGCCGCACTTTGTTGCAAACGTGACATAACGATATAATGGCGCCAAATCAATTAGTGTAAAATCACAAACTTACCGATGTTTATCATCCAGTGAAGTCCACTTAGGCAAAGAAATGATTGCATAAAGAAATAATAATTCCATGTTATTGGTAATAATTAATTGGAAACCAGTTTGACATGTTAAAATTTTATATTCATAATTTGCAGATTTATGCTTTTCATTTTTTTGCATATATATATTATATTTATTTTAATGCGAACGCTAATCGGAATATCAATGACATCTTTATTCATAGATTGGCACACAGAGCCAATTTGAATATAATCAACTCTGTTGTAGTTGAAATTACACAATTGCCTTATGCATATTTAATTAAGATAATAGCGTTCGTTGTTGGCATTTATCTATAGTTTTGATGAGAAATAAACATTTTGTGATAATAAAATTATATACAAACTCTTTTTTGTGTTTTAAAACGAAGATAACGTATAAAAACACTGATGACTGAGTCATACTCACTTGGTAATAGCAACAGCGATGTCGTAGACTGGCAGTCTCCTCTCCCTGAACAGATACTTGCCCATGTCAGTTAGAGCGGCGGCCGAGTCTATAGCGTCCCGACCCACACGATTTCTTTCCAAATAAGGAGTCGCATCGCGTCCCTTTAAATAGTAATTTGGTTAATATTATTCACATAATACAACTAACTGTCAATGTCACTTTCATGACAGAACAATATTTTGAAATAAAACCTTTGTGAACATAGATTATAGAAGCTATATATAAAATGGTATATCTTAAACTCACATTAATAATGTATGTTAATTATATTAATCTTTATTTTTGATTCGGTTTTAGATGATTGTTCATTATTGAATATTTATTAGTATTGGAACGTTTATGACGTCGTAATATCGAAAGTCGTAGAACAGACGACATTTATAAGTATTAATTCATATCTAAATTCTAATCAAGTATATAGTGTAGGTTATAAATAAATAATGTAATAAAGAACAATTAGCATAATTGGATGAAATGGTTCATAATTATCACCAACCGAACATTTTTGCAGACACGTTAAGGTCAAGCAAAAGGTGAATCACTAGTAATCTCAACCTTGAAATACCTAAAATAGTGAAATCATATATTACATATATTTTTCCCCTTCTATGAACACTAGAGTTATTAATTATCATCACAAAACGATTGCTTAAAAATATTTAATTTAAATAATTTATTAAATCAATGCTTTGTTTTTTGATAGAACGATCGTAAATCTGTTACCAAATTATAAAATATTAGCGGTCACTCCGCCTAGCGTTCAATATCTCATTTGTATTGCAGGTGTTGTTAATTTAAACAAATTAATTCAGTTTTTTTGCAAAATAAAACTGGATTCACTTGTTTCTTTCATCTAACTTATTTTATTAGCCGTTCGTTTATGATAACGACGACGTTAAAACAATAATTGTAAATTATGAATAATAATGACAAAATATTTCCAATTTTTAGAGGCTCTTATTTTTTATTGTATATATACCTAGATATATGTATATATCTATTACATTAAATACATGATTTATAAGTAATTTTTATTTCTACATTAACTTAAATATTAGACAATTGAACGTAAGATGCAAACTGTCATTTAAAAGCAAACTCAAATTGGCTGAATGAAAGAAATCATTTGCGTCCAAAACTTACGCGGGAAATTTTTCGTCATGAAACTTCAAGAATAGCATAATTTTGACAATTGTCGTAATTTTAGTATATTCACAATGGCTAGTGAGGCAGTATTAAAATACTTAACAAGTACTAACAGGCCGTATTCGTGTGCAGATGTTACAGTAAATTTAAGAGGAACGTACACAAAAAATGCTGTACAAAAGGCTTTAGACGCTTTGAGCGAGTCCGGTAAAATAAAGTGTAAGTTATACGGAAAACAAAAAGTTTATGCCGCTCTACAAACAAATAACGTCGAAGATGATAGTGACAAAGAAGGTAAGTTTTAAATAATTATTGAACCAAAATAAAGACTATTCTTTAATACTAAAACATTTTTCCAGATTACGACACAGAAATAACAAAAATTACGTTGGATTTAGAGAACAAGAAAACGCTTCTTAAAGCAAATGAAACGAATCTTAAAAATCTCATATCAGCGCCGACAAATGATGTTACAAAATTACAAATAGATGAAATTAAAACGAAAATAGACAAATTACAAACTAAACTGTGTACTTTACGTACGTCTAATGACGTCATCGATGTGAATGAAAAAAATGATTTATTAGGAACACATGAGAAACTTTATAAGGAATACAGGTTAATATATGGTTTATATGTATTAAAAATTATCTATAGATTTCGACTATATACTTATATATATACAAAGTTTTCCATAAAAGTAATGCGTATTTATACATTTTTAGAAAACGAAAAAGAATATGTTCAGATATGATAGACGCAGTATTGGAGGGATATCCAAAGTCAAAGAAGAATTTTCTAGAAGAAATGTGTATAGAGACAGATGAAGATGTAGGTTTTAATGTTGTGAAACAATAAAAGAGTTATCTATCGTTGTTTTATTTTTAGTAAATAAAGATGAAAAGAGTACGATAATTTCAAATAATTCTAAATAATAATAGAAAATAGTGATTTTCTACCATAATGATGTTTTATATCAAAACAAACACGAATTGTATTGAAAAATATATTAATTAATATTAAAAACTATGAATGAGGAAAATTTTTGTATGTTGATTAGTCCGCGACATTTATGGATCATAAAATTTTATCGAAACAGAGTTGTCCAATTCGTCATTACGTTAAAAATATACAAGTGATTAATATTTTAATGACTGATTTTTTCCGCGTTGTCTTATAATTGTATTTCTAAACCGCTATTTAACAAATAACCGCGATTTTTTTATAAAATCTGTTTAATACACACTTCCTTGATTTAAATAGGAATAAGTAAATGTTTCTCTAGTCTATGATTTTTGAGTTCCATTTGAGCAAAATAATTTAATGTAACGTTTCTAATAAAAGTAGATTTATGTACATTTGATTTGTCTGAAAGAAACTAAAAACTAGTCTGAGTTTTGCCTACTTATTTGTTATGTTTTTATTAATACGTAATAGGTAATTGCTTTCAGTTGAAGTTTTGCAATTAACAGCAAAGTATACCTACTCCCATTAAGACGTAAGTTTTAAATAACCTTTTTATGTTAACAATACATTTACTTACCCTCGAAATTATAATGCCAGCAATTGATATCCTTATCCTCGGACCTTTGAGGAGTTTATATCTGAGGTCAACGCCGTTCCAAAACGACACGAAATAACGCTTTATCTGTAAATTGTCGCCGCCGTGTAACCTGAGAATTGTCGTTATAAAATCATTATTTAAGATTTATTCATTATAGATTTTAACATATTTATATTTGGAACATCGCAGTGATCATTCAAATGAATTATATAAAAATATTCCTGATAGATCTTATTTTATAAACTTGTTATAAAAAAATTCACAAGCTGGTCTATATTTTATGGATATATATTTACTTATTATAATATTTGTTAATTTTTATTTATATTCTCTTGAGAAATATTTTTTTTTAGAATCATATAGAAGAGTCGGTGGCCTTTTAAATTATTAGGAGTTTAGTCAAGAAATAAAATAAATGTACATTTGTAAGAAAGGGTACAGATTACAAATTGGATGATATTGTAAACTAGCTTTCCACCCGCAGCTTTGCCCGCGTGGAGTTCGTTTATATCGCGTTTCCAAGAGAACCTTTCAAAAGTCTGGGATAAAAACTATCCTATGTTCTTTCTCAAGGTCAACTCTGTGTGTGTCAAATTTCATTAAAATTAGTTCAGTGGTTTAGGTGTGAAAGCGTAACCGACAGACTGACAGAGTTACTTTCGCATTTATAATATTAGTAGGGATGTTTGAAGTACCTGTAGCCGTCGTAATCAACGATCACAAGAATCTCGGGATAGATTACATAAGGAGCCTCTCTCTTCTTCCTGCTGTGGGTTTCCATTGAGCGTTTCCGTCTGTACCGCTTTCCGATGTGGTCTGGTTCCATGAAGGCTAAAAAAATAGGTTTTATATCACCAGGCATAATATATCTTATAAATTTACCCTATATATTTACTTGTATGAAATTTAAAAATATAAGATTTTCTCTATATAAATTATATAAAAATTGCATAGATAACTTGTATTCTACAAATAATTAAAAATAATTGCGGGTATTTTTAGCGAGATTGACAATATTTTATTTTAAAAAAGTTAATTTATTTAAATGTGCTATAATCCTACAAATTAATTATTTAACATAAATTAAATTTATGTGGCGCCTTCGATTGTAAGAAATAAAAAAAAAAATGCACTAATATCGTGTGGCGTATCAATATACTTAATACTTGCAAAACTTAAGGTCATCTTCTGTTTCTTCACTCGTTTATGGGAGTCATAAACATAGAGATTTGTAAAAATGTTTCTTAATGTTCTCATACTATAAAATTTACATATATAATATGTTTTTATTGAATTTCATTATGGAAAGCGTAAGGCACGTGATGGTGTCACGTGTATTTGATGGTGTTTATTCGCTTGTTCTTTACGACCTTATTTTTTCACTATCAAATTATTAAGTTATATTTTTATATTTTATTTCATCATAATTTTTTATAATATTAATTACAACTTTCATTTTTAATTATCTGTTACTATAGTCTAAAAATTTTTTCTATGAAATTTTGACATTGACATTAGCACTTAATTCTGACGTACAAAAAAGAGGTTTTATATATTATATGTACGATCTTTGAAATCGGTTTTCCCCAACATTATACGTAAGCTACATATTAATGAATGATATTCTCAACGTCTCGGATACTTTATTCTGGTGACGTAACGCCCGCCACACGACCTTACGACCTCTCTACAATAACAGTCATAAAAATAAATTTTTTAGCATTTTATTATCGAATTCGCCAAAATAATATGAGTATTCATCAACAGATTTTAATTGAAAAAACGTAAGCGATATTTTTAATCTGCGTATCGATATGAACAGAATGTACTTTTCCGTATTTAATCTGTATGAAATATCATCTCATTAATTTTGATTACATTGACGTCGTAAATAAAAAAAATGATATATTTTCTTGTGAATACCGACTAAATAGTATAGACAGACGGGCGTCTCGTATTTATTGCCAATTAAAATCAGAAAAATTATTATCATATCTTTCCGATAACCAGTCCTGACAACACGACATTTACGTTAAACTAGTTTTCGCGCCATTTTGCATAATTTTCACACAGGTGCCTTTCCTGTCGTCACTAAATATTTGGATTTCTGTGAATTACTCTGATTGGGAGTTTTATTATGTTCTTGGGAATTAAAAAAAATAATTACTAATTAATATAAACACACCGGTTTCTGATTCACATGGTTTACGATATTCCGAATATAGAATAGGTATGTTTCCAATATGAATATTTAAGTTTATAGTCCCGTCGTGACTTGCCAATTCAAATAAGATCAAACTAAAGGCTGTCCACACATAGACCTTTGCCTTTAAGAGGGCGTTGTTTCAAAGGTTACAATTGGTACTCGTAGCATTCTAAATAAAGTTAAACACTAATTTTATATTTCAATTTTCCATTAAAAATAACATAGTAATGTTTATTCTATCAGTTTCTTAATTAAACCTCAAAATCTCATTTAATTTTTAATTCTTTTTTCATTTTCTAGAATACGATTTGTTTGTACAAAAAACAAACAAACTACGTTTAACATAATAAAATAATTAAAAAAATATTACATCTGACAGATATAACGATTTTATATATAATTGATTCGAGTGGACTATTAAAATAATCAAAACTATAATTAATATGCAACAAGATAACACTAGAAAATATTATTTCCATAAATTATATGTTCGAAGTTAAAAATATTATAACGAGCAAATAATTTAATATGTACCAAAAAATAAAATAAAGCCACATGTTATATTATATAATATTAATGACAATAAAAAATATATACATATAAAAATAAAAAAAAACACTACGCTTAAATAATTCATTATGAAAAATATTTGCAAAAACGCCAATTAAAATCTAACCTTTCAGAAAAAATGGACTAATTAAGCATTTCAGGAAATATTGCGATTTTATATAAAATATAGATCTCGTAACACTTATTTTATATTTTGTATATTAATTAATTACAAAATACTTATTTTTCTAGACTAGACTAGTCTAGATTCATTCGGCTTTTTGTCTACGAAATATTTTTTGCTAAACCAACCCCAGATTTTAAACAGCGCCATCTATTAGTGAATTCTAAAACGACTTAATAGGATTTCTTTGTTTATGGCAAGTCTCATGTTGACTTTCAAAACAAAACCCAATTTCAAAAATCGAATTCGAATTTTAAATTATTTTGTTCTAATGAGTCTTGAATAAAAGCATAGTCTATTCTACATATTATATTGTGTTTTTATTGTATGATTTAAACTTACCATAGTCCCCTAAATGGTCCCCTTGCGCGGGGTCCCTTTTTATTATAACATGACCAGCTCCTTGAAGAGCCTGACGTAGTCGTTCCTGTTCCGCTTTTCGCCTCTTAACTGGTAAAAAAAAGATATACATTCAGAAATATCTTCTAATGTATTCATATATCATTAAAATCAAACAACAATAATTTCTTTTATTCAAATTTCGAATGTATAATTAAATTGACTTCATTCTATCAAAAGTATTATAGTCATAGACAATATTTTTCCCAAAGAGGGTTGATGTCAGGCAGGCGGCAGGTAAAAACAATTAGCCAAAACTATTGTATGTAAGGTAGACCCTGGCTAAAGCTGGGAAATTGCCAGGTAGAAGAAGAAGAAGAAGACAATATTTTTTTTACCCAACGGCAGTCCAGTGTCTATGGAGACCATGTCTTCCATGCTTGTGGGATCCATAAACATCTCGTCATCTTGAGCTGTTGTCATTGAGTCCGGTATCGGTCGAATAACTAGATCATGACCAATTGATCCTTCCTGTATATAAATATAATATAATAAAACAACTTTAGGAAAAAAAACTCAAAACTATTGTTGACACTTAAATGACTTTGACGTTTATTTTTTTTTTTAAATTTCCAAACACGTGATTAAGTCCAAATGAATAAATACTATCATATTAATATTAATTAAAAAAAATTGTTTGTATTTAAATTTAAATGTCAGAGTTTATAATATTTTGATGTGTTCATTAATTTTCTATTATCTAAACGTGCCTGTAAACTATGAATTTAATAACAAACATTTATTGTTTTTAATAGTTAATTTATGTTTTATCTGTGTACGCTTGTGTTTTCCTTCTTTGAGTCACAGATACAGGTGCATGTAATATGATATATGGGGAAATTAAAAATGTCAGTTTTATGAATAAGATAATAAACAATTAAGATAATGAAAACATCATATTGCTTTAATAATAAATATTTTTAAATGTAACAAAAAATTTATTATTGATTTTATATGATTGTAAAATGATTTTTTTTTGTTGCCATATAAATAAATTTCTTATTATAAATCCAAATTCTAAGTCCTGAACTATATCTTCATTAAATCGTATTATTAAAAAACTAACAAATACATATAAAAAATTAGTTTATATTATTAAGAAGTGTTTTCTAAATAATTCATATTATTATAATTTTTATATCGTCATATAGCTTGTAAGTTGAAGACGTGATAACATTTTCCCGCCGTTTGTGTTGCAAGCGTCCTTAGTCTACTTGCTTGTCTATTGTTCGTTTTATATTCTCTCTGGCTGTTTAATGAATGGCTGTCTTTATACTAAGTTAATATTACATCTAGATAAATGGAATATAATGAATGCTTAGACTTTTTAATTAACCAATGTGTGTTGATTCAAACAATTTGCATATGGGAAAAAAATTGTAACGTCGTGTGACATTTTAAAGGACGAATTAGACTAATTATTATTATTGTTGGGAAAGCGAGTTAATATTTAAGTATGCGTAAATCTTTTTATTATGTGAATTATATAAGATAGGAAAGATTTAAAAGAGGTAATATATATATAATTACAGTTTTATAAGTAGCTATATCATATATACTCTTGAAAGTCTCAATGGACCTCAGAATCCAGCAGTTTCTAAACGTATTTCCAACTCAATTTATTCATTAATTACATTAAAGATTAATGTATTTTTTTTTCACAAACATGCTTTTGTATATCCTTATTGATTAACAAAAATTCCAAGAAGATTATAAGATTACCAGCAAAATTTAATAAGATTTGAAACAGAACAATTGAAACGAAAATAGTCATGAATGATGATGTAAATATTTTTTGTGATAAAGATTACGAGATCGTGATTTCGGATTTGTAAAATCAGTGAGATTAGATTTGGAACAATAATATCAACTGTTTTAACTGTATAAGTTCATTGAGCCATATGAATAATATATATATATACTAGTTTTTGCCTCCATCTTCGTCCGCGTTAATTTTAAAATTATAAATATATGTATAGATGACTGGACGAACTCTATTACGCCCTACAGGCCATAAATAACTAGTTATTGGAGTTTACTAAGTTTTCTTTCTTTTTCGATGGAACAGAATTAAACATCCTATGTCCGTCTCCTGGTTCTAAGCTTTCTATCCACCAATTTTCAACCATATCCCTACAGCCGTTCTTGAGTTATAAATAGTGTAACTAACACGACTTTCTTTTATATATACATTTCAATTTCTTTTTAATTTAAATGAATAAACTCACCACAACTAGTCTCCCGTGTTTTGGATGTTTCCTAATCAATAAGGCGGCGCCATTTTCATCATCATGATACAGATCACCAATTTCCTCTTCATCATCCTGTGAATAAAACAAAAAAAAATTGTCATTTATTTTAAAACACATGCATCCTCTTTCCTCAAAAAATCGTTTGTCGAAAGAAACTGTCAATCGACAAATTCTGAGAAGAATTTAAATTTAAAAAAAAAACAAAAATCCGTACTGTGTACGTGTCCTTAAAAAGACAAATTTCGCAGGAAAGAATTGTAATTATACAAACATTGTCATGCATGACGCATTTGTATTTCTAATTATCACATTGTCAATTTGAAAATGACACCTCTAGGGCCGTTGTGCATTGTTTCAGTTGCATTAAAAATTAGGACGTACAGAGAAATTCAATTTGTCACATTAAGTCGTGTCCACACTATAAGAAATACGAAGCTATAATTGTGATTCACCTTTAAAAAGTTAATGCTTATAAATATGTAGGTGCAAAGATTTACGAGCGCTTAAAATTTCCTCGTAAGAAACAATTTAATTCGCCAATTATCTTTTCCATACACTCAATTACATGCGAGCCTTTTTTTCAACAATGACCGGAAGTGGCCAAACTGAAGGCTGCATACAATGAAGAAATTCCATTAAATTGGTCTGAATGCAAGACCTTCTGTTTCTTATTAAGGAAAAGATATGTAATGCATGAGAATCGGTCGGCAGAAAACCTTTTTTTTGGGGGCCTTTTTAATTCTGTCATCCGTGGAACTGTCAAAATTAAACGGCAATTTCATATTGTAATTGACACGTGCGATGATGAATGTAAAACTTAACTTGTCAGATATAGATTGAGGAAGGTTTTATGCAGGTAAGGGCGCCATAGTTATCATGATACGAAAATTATTATACTTTAGGTTATTGTTAAAATAAAACTTTTTTGGAATTTTTGCGTACATCATAACTGTAAAGAACAGTAATGAAATAGGTAATAAGGGTTTCTGTTGACCGAATTTCGTCCAATCAACAAAAAACATTAATGTATTTATTCCCTTGCCTAAGAAAGGTATAACATATGATATATGTATGATATAGGTATATCGACATATACAATCATATGCCTTGGGTTATTCCACAATGCATATTTGCTACCAAAATTTCGTCTTTTCCCGGCTATTCATCGATACAGTTTTACACATTCACTCATTGAAACAAACAGTCTCGAAGTCAGTCATTGGACTTATATTCTATATATTTACAATTTAGTATTTACCCATTTCAGATTTTATTTGTGTATTCTGTATTTATTATCTTTATAAAACTATACGTCAACTAACAATACCTAAACCTGTCATGACATATTTTGACATATGTCAAATAAAATTCCTATAATAAAGAATACCTAGCCATGTATGAAGAAAATTAAAGTTTTATTATTAGCAAAACATGGCTCTATAATTTATGATACGAATATGAAAAAACGGGTTTTCTTTTAAACTGTCGTTTATTTTAAAGCGTTACTAATACACTTTCAAGTGATGTTCGAATAGATATCAAAAAGATTTATTTGAATATCGGTTGTTCATCTTACGATTTATAATTAGATAGTTCCAGATAGTGACAGAAACCGGTAAGGTTTTAATCGTTGGAAATATTACGATACGAGATACATATTTGAAATTATATAATATTTAATTACAGATTAAATACAGACCTAAAATTTATATTTGAAATTGCAAAACTTTTTGTCTTACAAATATATGAATATAGTATTAAAATGTTCATTTGTATGTGCAATAAAAAATAAATTTCGATTTTTTTGAGACTAAATAATCATTAAGCAGTACGCTTACAGAGGAGATTTAATTTGAAATTAAAATGCGAAAAAAAAGAAAAAATATTAATGAAAAGTAATACATACATATATAAATGTATTTAAACATCAAAATCTAGGATGAATATACATAATATATACTTTTTAATAGCTGTTACATTGAAACAGGTTTGCAACATCATTGTCATGTAGGAAATCCCATAACTATTCTCATGAGACATCACTAATTGTTTCTCCGTACGTAAATACGGAAGCTCTGTTTTACGTACTCCGTTCGGGAACTAGTGTTCCGTGTTCATTATATAAATAGAAGATTTTGATCACAGATAAAGATTAGAAATATGAATTAGAAAAAAAAATCCGCCAAAGACGACGTTCGTTTGCGAAATTTGTACGAATATAAAATTATCTAAAATACCATAGACTACATGTCTATTGTCAAAACAAATTGTCTATGGATGATAAAAAAAAATATTTAAAGTTTAATGGTTAGAATGTATAGAAAAGTATTAGGTATATGAAATTATTTTGATAAATTAATTAAATCTTTAACTTTGTTTAGTTATATATTTTTGTTGCATGTATTTCATTTATTAAATAAGAATGAAGAAAGCATCTTTCTCAATTCTTCTTATAAACGTCTGTTAATTTTAAAAACGTTATATACAATAACATTTTCAATACAAATCCTTTACAGTATTTTAAATTAAATATTCCATAAGGAAATATTACATCTCAATATTATTTTACTTCTTCGGAATTCACATTTTAATATCACGACAATTAAATATGTCTTTATATGTAATGATGTTTGTCCATATTTATTTCGATGTTGCTATTTTTATATCCACATCGAGTAAAAACATCTGTTTATTTTACGTTTCCGTGTCCGGGGAAGATGCTATCAAATCACGATCTTATTATCAGACAACATCCTTTTAACTTAAATTTAATTTTAATAATATACTTTATAGGTAATAATATTATTTTTTCTTAAACTTGCACAAGAGGGCGTGGAAAATAAGGCGGGAATTTTTTTTGACATATTCTTGGGAAACCACTAGTTCGATTGAACTATTTAAATAGAAACACGAATTGAACATCAAATTATATAACATAAACGGCAGCCATTAATTTTTATTCCACGACACTAATAAATATAACATATTACCAAATTTTAATGAAATTGCTACAAATATTTAATAAAATTTAAGTATACACATTAAGTTAATTGCAATCCATAGGTCGCGACCTATAACGACATTGGATTTTCAAATTTTATGAATGGCAACAGTTAGTTATATTGAAGGACCGTCAATAATAAAAAATGAAGTCATTGATTCGACCTGGCAAGTACCAATGTGATTTTTCCGAGTCATATGTACTTTCTGAGAGTATTTAGACACTACTGAGTATTGACAGAGGATGAAGGAAAACATCGTGAGGAAACCTGGACTTATAATTTCACAATTATAAGTTTGAAATCACCAACCCGTCTTGAGCAAGCGTGGTGATTAATGCTCAAACCTTCTCCATGTGAGAAAGAGGTATTTGCTCAGCAGTGGGCTCTGATAGGCTGATGACGACGAAAAAAATGACAGGAAAAAAAAATTATAAAAGTAAAACTATCAAAAATATGAAAAACCTTAAAAAAGGAAAGTCGATATATAATTTTGTTACTAGTAATAGCTAGTTGGCCATAGTCGTGTCTACATTTTTATCGAAACGTGTACATTTGAATTTGACGTCATATCAAATGTGTACACACCATAAATCTGATGTAGACGCTAAAAAAACGCCACGTATATACAATTTGATTCTTTATGACCTTGACAACAAAGGTTAAAGTGACGTAAAAATGTTTGCACGCACAAAGTTAAGGTTACGGCTGTACGGATTCTGAATAAAAGTGATCATATTATTGCCATTTTAATACATGTCTTAACAATTCGGGGTTAAATCGGAATGACTTCAACGCTATACTATACACACATATACATTAAGTTTGGGTTCTATAGTAGTCAGTGGTGGCCTAGTGTTTAAAAGGCCCGCCTCTCATGCATGAGGGCGCGGGTTCGATCCTGGCAAGTACCAATGTGATTTTTCCGAGTCATATGTATGTTTCTAAGTGTATTTAGACATCACTGATTAATGCATTCCCAAAGAGGGTTGATGTCAAGCAGGCGGCCAGTCGTAAAAACAATTAGTCAAAATTATTCTCAACATGTAAGACAGACCCTGGCTAAAGCTGGGAAATTGCCAGGTAGAAGAAGAAATATTAATTTTGGGTTCTATTACGCTGGAAAATGCCTTAGAAAATGTGGCATATTCATTCATTAATACATACTATTAACGCGAAAGTTTGTATGAGAGGGTAGAGATACATACTAATGTTAGTTACTCATTCACGCAAAAACTGTTGAACGGATTTTAATGATGCATTTAAATATATCTCGTGCATTATAATAAGTCGTAGGCTATAATTTAAATCTTAAAACTTTGATGAACATCTGATGCTAAGAAACAGTTACAGTTTAAATTAAGTGACTACACAGACGATAGATGGCGTTACTCGTTCGTCGTCAAATCTTTAGTTTTCTTTTAAAACTATTTCCGAAATTTATGAGGTAGAAGTGAAGGGAAAAAGCTGCAACTATAATTTTTAATTCCTAAATACTCTATAACAATATAGAAGGACATTATTTAGTTGACTTTAGGTATATCGTTCAGATGTATAGTGAATAATTTTGAAGAAAGCTATAGGTATTTCACGAAAGTGGGAAATAGTTCTTCTACCAGGATACGGCGTACTCTTGTAAGGCTTTTAAAACTGACGATTAATTCAATAAGAAGGAAATAAATTTTGGTCTACATTTTTGTTTTTACGATTTTCACAAAGGTCATAGGATCTATTTTCATCTCATAAAACTATTAATAACATTTCCGTTAAAAATTCTTAAATTTTTTTTACACCACACACTATTATAAAAAAACAATAAAAAAAACATAAAAAGTAAACTTGGTGCGTAATACCGATTAATTAAAATTAATTAAGACATCACTGCATATATAGATCCAGTAATAAAAATGATATAAAAATATATATTTAGAAACTTCCTTGTAATAAAAATGCAAGTAACATATTTGAGATAAGGATAGGATTTTTATAGATACTATACGATCATTTGAATAATAACAAACTATTTTCATCCGGTTTGCTTCTATAAATAAAATAAAGAAATTGGAAAGAAGAATAAAGATAAATAATGAGAATAAAATAAAAAAACAAGTTATTTTAATCATTATTGTTTCTAATAAAAATACATAAATTAAGTATACCTATATACATTTTAGAAGTAACAGGTAAAAAGCAGCATTATTTGTATTCAGGTACATTTTGTAAAAAAAACTTAATTTAGTTTTATAGCCAATAGTTAAAACGCAAAACATTTGCTAGTACAATTCTGGCGATATTATATAGGGGAAGTAGTTTTTTTGTAATTTTATAACAACTGAATCCAACCGAAAAAATAAATTTGATAACTAGATAAAGAACAATTTCCAAAGCTATAAGAAAATTTTCGTGATGGTATAAGTATTGCTGATTATAGTATATTATTGATATAATAAATTTGCTATATTTTAATATAAAATTACTTAAAAAATGGAAGAGTAAAAAATATCGTAAATAGTAATATCCTATGTAAATAAATTTATAACCCCAAATCATTCTCATCTATTTTAATCCTGACCAAATTATTCCAACTCTTTGTGTTCAATGAAATTTAAATTCTATTTCTTCTGTCGCAGAGTATAAAAAAGCTTGTAAGTAATAAATGAAACATCTTACCACAATATTAACTATTACTGGTATTGTTGAAGATATTTCAAATAAAATATAATATTTATTATATAGTTACGTCACAGTTAATACTAATTAATTGTAACAATAACATAACAGTAATTGTGAATCATAATTACACAACACATTTTCACATAGTATCACTCGTGTTAGATAAGAATTCGTGGGAAGACATCACTTTCTCCTTACGTCTAGATGAGTTCATTTTTTGCATTCCTTCGAAAACAATCGACTTTACACTGTTCAACAACTAACTATCTATACAAACGAATATAACTCATATTACAAATACGATAAGTGCTATAATACCATGTAAGTTTTGTATTTTTTGCCGCCCGTATTGTTCCAGAATCGGCTGTATAATGTTCAATTAAATGACACATTTAGACATTTTTTATTAGTGTTTTCGATTTTCTCTATTGAATTTGTAACATATGGGTGTATGAGAAAACTAATACAGCAATGAAAGTGCTCCTAACTACTTTCAGTGATGCATTTATACATTTTATATGAATAATAAATCATGGCAGGCCCTGGCTAAAGCTGGGAAATTGACAGGAAGAAAAAGAATAAGATATATCATGATACATATTGGTTTATGAGTTTTGCACAATATATATTGCTTTGATATAAGTTAACATAAAATTTTAATGGCTTTAACTTAATAAAGGTATAGATTAAAAAAATAGTTTGTAGAGAAAATAATATATGCCTTTGAATATATGCCATTTCAAATAAGGATGACTAATTATTAGACAATGTTCCAAAAAGGTTTTAATTAAATCGATGTCAGTTTGTCAAATAAAAAATAAAAAAAAAATGTAGTATAATTAACTAGACATTACTTCTATAGTACTAGAAAGAACATTGAAAGTAACTTACCGATTTCATTTCTTCATAATCGACTCCATGAGGTTGGGACTCGTTAGTGAGGACCTTCCACATCCTCAATCCATCCTTCTTCAGCAGTCCCTCTTGCTTCTTCAAGACTAATTTCAGCTGTCTCCCGAAAGCCTCCAGATCTATATTATGAACATCCCTGCCAAGGTCATCGACCTCAGTCGAAGTTTCATTAAATTTTACACTGATGGTACTATTTAAATCGCCGATGATAGCATCTTTGTACTTATCAGCTTTAGCGAACATTTCATCGTTTAATAAGGATGGTGGTTCAGGTTTCGATTTGGTCTTCTCGTGTGGAGTCTTCCCTGAACTAAAGGAGTTTTGGTGCGATTGAGATGTGGCTATATTCCGCCGTTCGAGATGATGGGTTAGATGAACGAGGTGGTAATTTGGGACCAGGCTATGATGATCCACGTGGAAGACGTTCCTTAGCTCATCTGGGGTCATATGTTCATGAATCTGGAAAAGTAAGAGTTCAATTAAAACTGGCCCAATATCAACACAAAATAAGCTCATAAAAGGCATAAATGCTCCAAATTCATTGCAAATTATATAAAAATTTGTAGATATACAGGGTGACTGGTGAATTACTATCGATACTTGAGGACGTGATATTTGACGATCATATATGACAAAATAAAAATTAATATAACATAAATATTAATAAACTTCTAAGTAAAGTTAACCAAAAGTTATTTAATTAATTACGCATTGAGTGAACACCCTACAGAATAGGTATACACACACACACACACACATACGCGTTTGGCGGCGTAGTGTTGTATCAGCACGCCGCCGCACGCGTCCACACTTGGAACACTTGGAACGTGTCAACACTTTATTTATTTATACGGAAATTTGGTCAAAAATTAAGTGCCTATTTTTTTTACATAATTCGAATGAGAATCATTTACCGAGTATGCTCCTTAAATATTGATAGTAATTCACCAGTCACCCTGTATAGTTTAAAATGTAATAAAAACTTTTCCATAACACCAAAACACCAAAGAGGTTATATATATTAATTTTTATCCCTTCGAAACTAGTTTGGACCTACGATCACGACATCCGTATATATTGTCCGAATGCCACCGGTTGAGTTGAAAACCTTGGCTGCGGTCAATAGTTTGCCTTTCTCGATTAACATATTAATATATTCTGTGATTTCGTCAGTCTTCTTTAGGTTTGTTTATTTGCCAAATATGGAGTATTTTGGTAAAATGTATACTATGAAATGCTGCTTTTTCTTATAGGAAAGTGTAAGGATTTTTTGCACATATATTAGAGGTTTATAGAACAAATCATTACATAGTGTAAACTTTTATAGGTCTTCTTGTTATTGAAAGTTTTGCTTGCTTGACTGATATGTACATTTATTGTTTATAATACTATAAGAATATGAAAAAGAAAAATGAGTTTCTTAATAAATGTTACATATAATATCTATCTGTCATCTTTTTATTTTAAGTTTAATTGAGTTACTTTTTAATTAGAAGCCAAATAATAAACAGACTATGATGATTTATATAAAATTTATTTTTACCTCAAGATTTTATTTTATATTATAATTTGTATATAAGTTTTCACAGTCTATGTAAGCCTTATGTTATAAGATACAGCCCTGCAAAAATCGGAACCGGAAATCTATATAAGGATCGTAAGTTTTTTAATACGTTAGGTCGGTAATAACGTAACTGTAACACACCTAAATGTTAAATACGTCGCACAATAAACGTCTCTAAATGTTTGAATATAAGATATAAAATTGCTTCAAAAAATTATATATCTCTATACTCGTGGAACGCTGTATATAAACAATGGATTGTCATAAAGTCTTCAAACAATTATCGCGTGTCTTACATTGAAATTTATATGCAATAAGAATCATATTCCCGTGTTATATTTTAGCGTTACTGACTGTCCATCAAGTCACCGGCCTCGCTCGATTGATCTAGTTATTATATAAGAGTTACATGTTTTTTTTACTTGTAAGGAAAGTGTTATATTTGAGCTTTATACTTAAGTGGGTGGTCCTACCTTCCTGCATTGTACACGTAATATTTCCTTAAAACCATTACTTATGAAATATAGAAAGTAAATTAAACCTCCTTAGTTTTAAATTGGCAGAATAGTTTTGTGCTAAGTTCGCAAAATGGCGGTATTTTTAGATGCAAACGAAAAAATTATGTCATATTTTTTATTTACATCGATTAATCACATATATATTTGATTTAAATCTGACCTCTGCAACAGGTTAATTATATAGCACTCTTGTTATTTTTTAATCTAATGCGGAAATTAAATGTCTCGGTTATAAATTATTTGCAATTTAATATGTCTGTGATAAGGACAGTGGCGTAACTACAGGGTGGCAAGTCGGCAAAATGCCACGGGCCCCCAGCCGGAAGGGGCCCCCGGTCAGAGGAGAACCCCAACTCCCAGCATTTATTAATTATCATACATATTTAGTAAAAAAAGTTTTGTCTAGAACAACTTGAAAAGTATCGAAATGAATTTGAAGATTTAAAAATGGAGGCAAATAGTATTGCAACGAAATGGTCTATAAACCCTGAATTTCCTAAAACTCGTCAGAGAAAAGTGAAACGTCATTTTGATGAAATTTGTGAGGATGAACGTCTCCAAGATCCTGAAAGCTTGTTTAAAGTGAACGTATTCTATCATGTATTAGACATAATCATTAATCAACTGAGATCGCGTTTCCTTGGAATGAATGAAATTGTTTCCAATTTCAGTGTCTTGCAACCTGCCACTTTACAAAATTTGAACGATACTGATTTGTTGGAGAAGGCTTTAGCATTTGTCCATCTATATAAAGAAGATATATCCATCTCGTTTTGCAAAGAAATTCTCAGTTTTCGATCCTCTTTTAGACACGAAATAGAAACATCATCTTCTATAAGAGAACTTGCTGACTTATTAATAATAAAAAATCATTTTATATCTTCAAGCTTTCCTGAAGTGTGCACTGCATCTCTATTATTTCTCACCATTCCTGTGACTACGGCTAGTGCCGAGCGATCGTTTTCAAAACTGAAATTGATAAAAACTTATTTAAGAAATTCTATGGGACAAGACAGGTTAAGCAACTTAGCTGTTCTATCCATCGAAAATTCTATGGCCCTAAATTTGAACTTTGATGATATCATTACCACCTTTGCTGAACAGAAAGTCCGAAGGAAGGAATTTTAATAATTAACATTTTATATTTTGAACAACTTGTGTGCTTTTAACAATATGATTATTCGGACTGCGTATATCAAATTGCTTTTTTTGTTGTTCAAATCATTTTGACTACTCTATGTGTCTATATCAATAAGATGCTGACTGTACTTTTTTTTTTATTATTTGAAATGGGCTTGCTCTTGACCACAATCATGTCTAAGGTATGATGTGGCCTACGATGGAGCGAGCTTACCCAGAAGATGCCTATTCACGTTACTTTTGAAACACCCAGGGTTATAATTAGGTATATTAATTTTAAAGTGAATTATTAGAAAATCAAGTACCAAAGTATAATTATAAAGTTTGTATGTACCTACTTAACGTAGTGATTTATTATTGTACTCTTGCAAGTAAAAGTGTATAAATAAGTATTATAAAATAAAAAAATATTATTATTGTTGGTTCATTTTTTTTGTATTGGGGGGAGGGGCCCATCCGATGAATTTGCCACGGGCCTCGAACGGTATAGTTACGCCACTGGATAAGGAGATAAGATATCGTTTTCAAAATAGTTTTCATTAATATTCAATTGTACACCATAAAAATTTTTATACCCTTGCCATCGAAAGATGAAAAATTAAAAAAAAAACACTTAAAAAATTTAAGAAACTGCGTTTAATTTTAAGATCATGAAAATTTTAGTTTAATGTTATATTATAAAGAAGATACAATTTAATAATAATGTATTAATATTTATATATTCAATACAAGGCCTAATAAATTTTAAAATTATTATAATTTACGGCTGTTATATCTGATAAATTATTTCTTTCGCTCACAGTGACAGCTGCACGTGGTTACACAGATTATATTGGGCTTCACTGAAATTACCACAGATAAAAATCTCCCGCTGTCAAAGTTAGTATATAAAGGTCAATATTTTTATTAAAAAAAAACGGTCAATACATGGCCTAAGTATAGTACTTTTGTATTTATCTTATACATTTGTATATATTATGAAATATCCCTACTAATATTATAAATGCGAAAGTAAGTCTGTCTGTCTGTTTGTTACTCTTTCACGCCTAAACCACTGAACTGATTTTAATGAAATTTGGTACAGATATAGAGTTGACCTTGAGAAAGAACATAGGATAGTTTTTATCCCAGACTTTTTAAACGTTCTGTTGGAGACGCGATATAACCGAACTCCACGCGGGCGAAGCTGCGGGCGGAATGCTAGTATCTTATATAGTATTCGTATATTGTTACCATTTGTATAAGTAAGCTCTGTATAAGTATATTAAGTGTTACCATCACTTATTCCTAATTCCTTCCTTAAACTGTAATTTGTAAAGTAAAAGTAAAATTTCATTGCAACATTAGTTCGATCTAAAAAAACCTTGAAACTATCTAAGTCGGAACTAGTAGTGATTTTGTGAAACAATAACTTTTGGTTCAAACCGTTCACTTGTTCACCTTTCATGTGATATGGAACCCAATTGACTAAAACACAAGGTCAATTATTGCTTGTTACGTCCGATAAGACAATGCTAAGACTTCCATAGCGTAGTAGGAATGTTATTACTTATTACTTAGTAAATACAAAATGTATTGTTTTGTATCGCATAGAATTCTTTTAAATATGACACAGTTACATACTTTACTAAATAACTTTAAAGGTATGAAATCAAGGCTTAGAGAAAAATCTAAAAGAATTTGATTGGTTTTAACCGACTTATCGAGAGGGAAGTTCGCTGTTGACATTACTGAACCGTTTTCGATAGTTGTTTTTGCATTCTATAGGAGAAAGTTATGAGAAACGTGGAAAGTGATACAAATTGAACTTGTCTATTTATTACTAAATAAAGATTTGATATTTATAGATTTAAGTACGTTTTTTTTTTTGTCGTACTGCCATTTAAATTAGCTCATGAAATATTACTGTAATTTGAACTTTATTCAAGTCTAGTTGAAAATTCTATTTATAATAATATAAAACTGGTTTTCATATAAAAATATTATTGAAAACTAAATCGACAGCTGTATATAGAAAATATATAATAGAACATACCAATTTATAAAAAATAATAAGTATATTATATTTAAGACTTAATATATTACATCTATCACAAAAGAAAAGAAATCTTAATCTAACTTGTCTAATATTTAGATATACGTAAGTAATCTTAGAATTATTAACAAAAGAATGATTGAAACATAATTATGTATTACGAGCTTATATTTAAATTGTTTAATTATATACTATTAATACATTATATATAATATTATTATTGATATAAATAATGACGAATATCCGATGAAGATATCTTGTATGATTCCTTAAATATTATCGGATGTGGAGAATATTATCCATGCATACTATAAATATAGTTAAGATTTAGTATAACAGTCAGTGGTGGCCTAGTGGTTAAGGGGCTCGCCTCTCGTTGCCGAGGGCGCGGGTTCAAGCCTGGCAAGTACCAATGTGATTTTTCGGAGTCATATGTACTTTCTAAGAGTATTTAGACATCACTGACATACGGTGAAGGAAACCTGGACTCATAATTTCACAATTATAAGTTTGAAATCACCAACCCGTCTTGAGCAAGCGTGGTGATAAAAGCTCAAACCTTCTCCATGTGAGAAAGAGGCCTCTCAGCAGTGGGCTCTGATAGGCTGATAACGATGATGATGATGATGATAATATTCATGTAAGGCAAATTTCCAGGTAGAAGAAGAAGAAGATTATACATATTACTTATACAAGGTGACTGGTGAATTACTATCGATACTTGAGGACGTGATATTTGACGATCATATATGACAAAATAAAAATTAATATAACATAAATATTAATAAACTTCTAAGTAAAGTTAACCAAAAGGGTGTGAACACCCTACAGATTAGGTATACACACACACTCGCACATACGCGTGCGAAGGCGTGGTGTTGTATCAGCAC